ATCGCTAGAACTTACGCACGAAGTTGGCGTTTTTATTTTCAAAATTTTGCAATTGTGAACTTTCGGTATGGCATTGTACACTTTTGTATGCATCCGTCTATTGCTAAGTTTATATTGTTACCCAAAACATTTTAGTAGTATCGTTAATTTCTTATTAGCTGCAAAAGACACTGAGTGAAAGAGGCGCCGAGGCGGAGACTTATGCACAAAATGTGGCTAGGTTGGAGAACGAACTAAACGCGGTCACGAGCGAGCGGGATAGAAGACTGAATGAACTTAAGGCCGCCATCAGCTCCAAAGGAGGTTCGGGGCTTACTGATGAGGAACTTCTTCAGCGTGTCGCGCACCTGAGACTGCACAAGTAAGCTTTACCATCATTTCCTCCAAGATCAGGGATCACAAAAAAATTGAAGTTACATTTCTGGGAATGATCCTTATATTTTTACGCTTCCAAATTGTTTACCTAATGACCTAGAGTTCAAGAAGCAAATTAGATGTTCCTCTAAGCCAGTCTACTCTTATTTCATTAGTATCATTTTTTTGAAACTTCTTCAGAAATGAACGCCAATTTGTAAAAACGCACTTCTGAGGAAAGATTGAGTGTCCTTCCTTTAAATTCGTACCACAACTGTAGCAGAAGCCTTTATTATCCGATGAAAGTGCAGAGCAAAATTGACAGTTATTGTGGATTTAAAAATTAACTATTGCAAGTTTACCTCCGAATTCTCATCAAATACGGAGCATGATCCCACAAAAGTCGAATAACTTGTCCATTTAGAACACCCTATTTATGGAGATTGGTATGGGTAAGCGGAAAGCAGGAACAGTACAGTTACGAAAATCAATTAATTTGCCTTATTAGGATGTTAATACCAAAAAATCATAGCCTGTGACCTTTATAGACACCTCTGACGCCGGCATGCAGTATGCGTTCCTCTGTGTTTGCCTGTTCCGTGCGTTCATGTTGCACTTGTTGCATTACACTCTTCCAGGATGTGGGACGAACTGCGGTTTTCCAACGAGCATTACTACTGTAAAAACGACTTATCCGCATTTTACTTGACCTCTGCAGAAACTGATTTTATTTCCTTGGCTTTAGCCTCCTTAGATTTTGAATGAATGAAATGAGAATGTAGATTGCTTCATAAGTCTACAGCTCACCTGCTTGATACTTAGCTCGCCTTTATTGCCTTTTGTGCACGCCATGATGACTTGTCAATATACATAAATGTTCCGTGAAAATGAGAACTAACTTCAAATTTATTTGGTGTTAACTTATTCTTTCAATCTGCCCAAAACATTCATCCAGTCCAGAGGTCAAACGTCTTTCCGGTATGTGAGTGATCTTGATCAGTAGGTACAAGTTAAGGAATTCTTTTTGTACATCCATATTTAACTGTGTATTCGAGGGTAGATTCTTTCGTTCCTCAAATAAATGCCATTGTTGATGCATAGCTCTTGGCTATACTATGTCTCTGAGGAAGATTATCTCTCCTGTATAAGCTACCTTTGCATAACAGCCCAGGTAAACGTTTGTGCTAGTTGACGTAATTGCTTTCCCGTGTAAAAAAATTATGTACCTAACGCATGCTTTGTGTTGCAGTGAAGAACTGGAGCGGCAGTATGCCGCATCTGAGGCTCGGGTTAAGTCATTGACTTCTCAACATTCTCAGGTTGAAGAGGAATATCAGGCTCTCAAGAAATCCACCACTTCGATATCATTGGTGAGAGTTATTGCTGCTGAATGCTCGTGTTAGGTCGTGTGATGTGTTATTGTTGGCTTTACAACGCCCCATTTGTGTATGAAAATGAAATGGCTCACTTCAGGGCATCAATTTCAATGGATTTTAAGGGTGACTCATTGAACTACGCTGCGTCTAGGCTGTCAAAAGCTTCCTATTCGATTTAGTCCATCTTCGACTCGGTACCATGCCATTCATTGCGGCTCAATCCTTCATTAACTCACTGAAGAAGTTGGACAAAGTACACATGGGCGAGGTTGGGAACATTTTTCCACGTTATTTTTGAAGACAAGTTAGGTTAGGTTCACACAAACACCACACATTTTTTATCCAATTTTTTACTGGTCCGTTGTGACTGACCGTGATGGTCAAATTTTTTGGTTGTCTGCAGATGCTCGAATTGAGTACAGGGCAATTCCATTTTTTAGGTCGATGAACGAGTATCGGCAATGCAGCATGCGTTGGATGAAGCAAATAATCGGTAGTCTCTTCATGGATTTTTGTGAATTGAACATTCTCATACTTTCTTCTCTCATTAGATTGTCAGATTACTTATAGTCTATCACTAATAATGACAGCAATGTGTCTTACAAGGTGAATTTTGCTGGGATATACGTTCATCCACGGGATAGTTCTGTGAGGGATGTGTCTCATGGGTTTTGGTATTGAATGTGACGGCACTTGCATTGAGCATAGCAAGGTCATGTATGGTAGTTCACCCGTATTTTTGGTAGCGTGTGCAATAATCCTTTCCTCAACTCCCGTGACTTCCAGTGCGTGCAATAGATTCCCTATTTAGTTTTTCATCGTCATCAAAATAATGGTTTTGGTTTAATGTTGATGGTTGTGGATTTGAATTGCTTGATTTTTGACAATAGGATCAAAATATAAGCTTATGAACGGGGCATGTCTCTACATCAAAGATTATGTGTTGCTTGTATGCGCGTTTGTTTGCCAGCGCTTCACACCACGTATCTTTAGGGAGGTTTTCGATGTCCTCTATTGCGCCCACTTCCGCTGCTGGTGTGTGCGCATGTCTGCTTTTAGCTATGCAAGCACATGCACTTCGTACCACAAGCGCATGGCTTTGGACACCATTACTTGGTATCCTGACTAATGATTGGCACTGAACTTAATCTTTACTACTTTTACTAGTAGTATCGTACGCTCTTCATAGGTTTTTTTATTGTATCAACCTTCCAGGGAAATAAAAAAATCCTCTTATAAGTCATAAGAAGTGCCCTTTGGAAAGGATTTGGTTTTAATTGTCCTTACCTAATGGGTTCCAGTCGAATCGTTACAGTTCTAGTTTTCGAAATAGCACATGTTACGCTAGTGCCCTCCAGGCCATGCATCTAATAGATGTGTGCGTGGGTGTAAAGCATAAACAGAAAGCTATGAAATAGGGTTGATCGGTGGCATTACATTCGGCGTTCTGACTCAGACGGATTTGCATGCTGTCTCACCATCTCACTCATCCTGCCTCCACGCCACATAAATCAACATGCACACATATATGGCCAGTGGGCAGCAACTCCGACATAGCAATGGGCATATTTTTGTGGGCTCGGGAGGCGATGCCTGGCTGGACGGCTGGATATTGCTGCGTCACCTTTCACAAATGACAAGCGGTGGTGACTCCTTCTCCCGGCATTTTCCTTATTCGTGAAAAAAATATCGACCTCAGCTTTGCACTGTGGCAAATGACCCTGGGGGCCATTCGTCGGCATATTTGAGTACCTCACTCTGGCAAAGATTCCTTGTTTTTGATTCTTCCAAATTCAGTAGCTGATTGCTTTTGTATGATATCGACCAACACTCGCTTGATCTTATTGTCCGAAACCTTTTGACCTACATCATTCACATGGCCAAAATTTAACCATCAGTACTGACCATAATTTTTAAACTAAAATCGGTCATATAACCGAGGCGTTTGACATGAAAATTTAATTTCACTGTGATCTACCATTATTTATGCTGGATGCATTTTTGTTTCCACCTTGTGCACAATTGCATTATGTGGCAGTTTCGATAATACTTTAGAGATATTTATTCTTTCAAATTTCTTGGGTTAAGACTTGGTTTTATAACTGCTATTGGTGGTTCCAATGCCAGAACATTTTAGTGTCTTCCTGCACCTGATTGTTGCCTTTATACAGTACTAAGTCAGTGTTTCGGCCCCGCTGACTATTTTGCCACTTTTGTTCATTTCTAGTGTTGAGTTGGCCGAGCGGTCTTCGGCAACAGCCCTCCAACAATTGGAGTCTAAAAATTTGGAACTACAGTCCCTCCAGGAACGGCTTCTCAAATTGGCTAAAGATGTGCGTCCGTCATATTGTCTTGTTTAATAATTGCATGATTGAATTTACGGACGTAATATTCTTACATTAAACCGTTTTCTTATATTTTCATCAGTTGCTACACTAAGGAAAGGTTTGCTTGTTTATTTAGATATAAGAACCGTATTTCATGTCTGCATCAGTTATGCTTGTGCCTGCCTCTTTCGTACTCTGCGCTTTTTCCAAATCGCTTTTTAATTGACTATCTTTGCAGCTGTTTTATTCTCCACGTTAGCGTCACGCCAGCTCCCGGGCCGCTAAAATTGATGGGGCTATTTGAACAACTTACTTTTGACGCATTGAGCTGGGGTTTTATTTTAGGAATGCTTTCAAAATAACTTCTAAAATTTGGATTGATTATCAATTTGTGACGGGTTCGTGATTTCATGTACTGGTAATGGCATAAACATGTATGGAATTAAAGGAGCTAAATCTGGCTTGGGGAATGCACAGGAGGTACCTAGCTTATATGCCGCCCTCACCGCTGTCATTTCTGTTATTTGAAGAAATCTCTGGCATGAACGATGGTCCAGAGGACTTTACGCATGCTGGTGTCACTTCAGCCATCCACGTCAGCAATTGTACACAGTCACGGGGACGATTACAGCGTCGTTCTCATGCCTGTGTCAAAAAGACACAGCTTCCCATCTTCCACTTTGCGATGCAGTCACAGAATTAAACTGTCACTTCAATTAGCTGATGAGTCCTTTTCTTTGCTTCCTCTATTTCTCGTCTCTTCTTTTTCCCGCCTTCAGACCCGTGCATGTGTATCTACATCCCAGTCTCATTGTCACTGTGCTCGGCGGCTTTTTTGCGCGGC